TTTTTTTTTTTTTTTTTTTTTTTTGGCTGGGGCCCTTCCGTTGTCCTTGCACGACCGGGCGACCCAGTCAAACAAGGTGACCAGGGCGGCTTGGCTGGTAGCCCAGGAGCCGACACTTTTCTTCCGAGCCTGACACACTGAACCAGAAGGATTTGGGCATGCAGGTAGCAGCAGGGAGCGGAAAATGAGTTATTTTGCCGCCTGAACTTTTTACTGTAATGCAGAAAGTGTTGTTTCCGTTTTTTATAACTTTTTAACAGTTTTCAACTTTTCTCAGACAGATCAGCAGTCCATCTATGTCCCCGATAGGCGGGCACAGCGATAGATAACTTCTTCCTTCCTTGGCTTGCCGTAGGCCCCTACTGCAGACATTCGACCCCCCTACCGTCTTCCCCCGAATAGAACGTCCGGTCATTACACCTCTATTTGGGGTAACTTCCGGATTAAATACAACAATAATGACCATACGTTCTATTTGGAGGAAGAGGGTAGGGCACTTTGGAATGCCACCCAGCTATTCAAATAAATGGGACAGAGATACCAATGGGCGTAGCTCAGCTGGTACACCCCTGAGCTGAACTGTTGAAATACAGACCCAAGTTCGAATCCAGATACAATCAGACTCTGAATTTTTACCTGGGGCCGATCAGTTCAATCATGATATCTCAAGGCCATAGCTGTTTTTTTCCTTAAAAAAACAGAAGAAAAGAGGGACACAGATTGACATTGTCAGTGATGCTAAGGGAGGCAGAGATTGCTGGTGATTGAGGACATAATCACAGTGCGAATTTGGTGAATGTATCTGATCACAGCCATGGGCAGATTCAGATGAAAAAACGTGATGCTGCGGATATCATGCCCTGGCCTGTGAGCCATATCTCACCGCCTGTGAGACATATCTCACCACCAAGGACGGGCAACAGAATAAGTCGACGTATTCATGTCATCCATGGAGATCGGAATAACACAAGTAAGGTTAGCATTTCCCTTGTGCAAAGCCAACATATAGAAATCAAGAAATGGTTCAAACACGAAATGAGAAGGGCGAAACAAAAAACTTTAAAAAAAAACAGAAAAAATGGAAAAAAAGAGGAGGGCAGCAAAACCATTCACACCCCGACTGCTGGCTATGGGAAAATCGGAACCACTCTTTTTTTTTTTTTTGAAGACCACCACTACCTTTCAGGCTGGATGGCGAAGTCATACTTATACCGCATTCTTCGGAGGCCGGTGGAGGCTGGGCGCTACCGGACCAAAAAGGATGGTGGCGCCATCCAAAAGAAAACAAAAAACACCCTGGTGGCGCTTCAGCCAAAGTTTGGCGCACAATTCTACTCCGCCTCGGCAACAAGAGGCTCGGAGGTAGTGTGGGTTTAAATTATAATAAATAAAATCGTAACTACTCGTTCCCCCCCACATCGAGGAAACTCGGGAAAGCCAATTTCAATTTCACCCATGCATGCAGAGGACATCATTTATGGCAAATGTTACAACTTATTAGATGATAAGACAACCCACACGATTTGGCTACAGAATTATTCTCGAGCGAATGATTATCATTAGACAAAGCACCTAGGCTACCAGCCGGGCCGCCCGGGTCCCGGGTGGCCAGCCCGTGCAAGGACCAAGGAAGGTCCCAGCAAAAAAAAAAAAAAAAAAAAAAAAA